CTTCATCTATTACCATCTATCTATGAATCAGTAGTCCTAGTCCTATAAAAGCATCTTCAAAATTAGAAGATACGCATATCAGGAAACTATTATTTAAAAAGATAACTGAAACATACCTGGTAATAATACCACTTCCGTTGATATCAATTTTTCTAAACAGAGTGGTGGAGAAAAAAGATGGTAACTTGCAAATGTCTTTTGTTACCGCCTTAAACTCTGTAATGCAAAACAAAAACATTTAACAACATCAGCAATAACCAAAAAAAATTATAAAAGTCAATTCTGACTAAAAACCATGAGTGTTTTCTTCACCATGAATTTGCAATCCCAAATGACCATAAAAGTGCTTATCAATCGCAAACAAGCACTGCTCTTTCAATTCATTTGGAGGTGGACGACCATTTTTAAAATAAAACTGCAAAAACCAACATCATTTTCCTCTTAGAATTCCATTATCAGCAAGAATTTAATTCAACAAAAGCATTCCCAAATTTATCAGCTAATGCCACAAAGTTTCAAACTATACCTGCGGTATGACTTCGCGGACTGGCTCACTAACTATTTTAAGTGGCGAACCTAAAGAAGAAGGGCCAGACCGTTGTTTGAAAACACGAGGAGAACCCGAAATACTTCGAGGTGACAGTGGAGGAGTACTTGCAGTAGAAAACATGGAAGGCAACAAGTTATTTGTAGAAACGTTAATAATCATGGAATTCCCGGTGGCATTCAAAGACGAAGTCCCCGTTTTCACATCAGCAAGCAGATTCTTAACCTAAATAGATAAAACAAAAAAAAAACATCATATATAGGAACAAGAAAACATCTTTGCCATGGACAATCCAATTCTCATCTAGAGCCTTTCATGACTCGACCGGACATTCACATCTAAACGCATCATCTCGAGGGACACCCACTCCCATTACGCTATGGGCACTCATTCCTGCTAGAGGTCCTCAAGAACCCATCTAGCTCGCACGAGGGTCCTGAGGACCAGCCATCAAGCTCCAATAGCTCGAAGAGTATGTCCTCCTAGCATGGTGAGAACCAAGACCATGCCCTCAATCACTCATTCGCAACTTATATGCCTGTAACCCAAGGCAATACTCGATAGCTGGAGCGCCACCAGCCAAAAGGAATATTATTCGATAAATGTGAAAACCTTACCAGGCGACCAGTTTCGGGAAGGGAAAGCCAAAGAGAAAAGAGTTGTTCGGCGAGGGAAGGATAAGATTTGATAGCTGAAGGAGAAAGGTCAGGGAGCTGAAGCAACTCAGGGTCAAGAGATGCCACATCACCAACAATCTCCATTTCCATGATTCTTTTTTATTTCTTATTCCCAAAACAATGAAATTCCGGCTTTTTGAATGACGATCAAAGCAGAAAATTGAAAACCCTAGATCATCAAATTCAATATAGAGAAATGAAGTGTTTTGAATTGGATTGAGGGAGAGTTTGAGCGAATTTGACAATTTTGAAGAAAGGATATTTTGAAATGTCTTTGGGGGTTTGGGGGGAATTAATCGGTTTTCCTTTTGGGATGAGAAATCGAAGAACTTTCAAGAGAGTTATTTTAAAATTTGTTTGGTTTGATTTATTTGAAGCTGAAACCGTCACTGTCTTGTATGTAATTGATATGGGCAAAGTATATAATGGTCATTGAACTTTTTTAAAGCTTTCATTTATGTTCTCAAACTTTTAAAACTTGTAATACAATCCTCCAATATTTAGTCCGTTTGCAATATGGTCCCCTCCGTTACACTACCGTTAGTCCGTTTGCAATATGGTCCCCTCCGTTACACTACCGTTAGTACGTTTGCAATATGGTCACTTAACTTTTCAGATGCTTGCATTTAGGTCTCCTAATTTTAAAACTTGCAACATAATCCTCAATTTCATTCTAAACCCCAAATTCCTTTTCGATCTCGAATTTCCTTTTTCGCTTCTCTCTTCTTATTTCCAGTGTAACTTTTCAGTTGGAGATGCATGGGAAATTCTAATATAACTTTGAATTATGTAGAGGTGTTAACTCGAATAAGGGTCCATTGAGAGAAGACCCGGCCAAGGGACTATCGGGACCATCAACGATTCAAGGTGTAATGTTAGATACATGTCATCTCAGGTGAAGCATAAATATTCGATGAAATGCTTGTGAGAAAAAAATGAGGTTAGAAATGCAGAGTTGACAAATACCACTAAGATGAACTAAGTATCAGTGTTGAAAGTCACCAACAAAACTTGAATTATTTTGTATAAATGGCATATAATAATTTCTTCGTTTCATCATTGTGGTTAAAGATTTTCCAACAGATGATCAAATATAATGAAATCACAAATAGCGCATTGACCTCTCAGTCTCTTTCGCAACTCGAAAAGCATCATGACATGGTTAAGTAGCTGCTCCAAATATACTACCCTGTCATGATGCCTTGCGAGTTGTGTGCATGCATAATTGTCTTCTAAAGCTATAATTCAATACAATTCAACTATAAAATTTTCAAAACATGTAAAAAAATCCAATTCGTTCATGATATATCAGTCCCATAATCAACATGAACTTATTAAAAAGAATACGAGCTCACAGGACGCCGAAAACCATAGGTCGAATCAATACAATTCCAGTAAACTGGTACCAACAGTCTCTCGGATTTAGCATGGTGATTTCACTATGTCGATACTCACAACCAATTCCCTAATTTAAAGAGAAACCAAACAAAAGATTAAAAAAAATTAGCCTAAGATCCTCTTTCATATATATTATCTTTCACATATATTCTGATAGATTGAATATTTTTCACAATGAGTACTAAAAGTTTTGATTAAGAAGAAAGAAAGAAAATTATATGGTTTTGGTTCAAAATTAACACTGAATATCCAAATCATTGACATGTAGTTCCAGAAACATAAAAATTTCAACAAAAACACATAATGCGAGCTGAAAATGGGAAAGTGCAAAAGATGAAAAGTTTACTTCCGGATAGCCCAAAAGAGAAAATAATTACATTATTGCAATTGAGGGGAGAGGCTAAGAAATAAACACAATCAGTGTTGCGTTCCAGTAATTCTTCCTCTATTTTTTCTTTGTAAATAAAAGCTGAAAGACAGAGCACTGCTTGGGTTTACAATTTTACATGGCGGAAAATTGAATAACAAAAACCAAACGAGAGTGCATGTGAGCGAAATAGACTGAGAGGTGAATGCGCTGTTTGGGATTTCATTATATTTGATCATCTGTTGGAATATCTTTAACCACAATGATCAAACGAAGAAGTTATTATATGCTATTTATACAAAATAATTCCAGCTTTGTTGGAGACTTTCAACAATTATACTTAGTTCATCTCAGTAGTATTTGTCAACTCTACATTTCTAACCCCATTTTTTTCTAACAAACATTTCATCGAACATCTATGCTTTACCTAAGATAACCTGTATCTAACATTACACCTTGAATCATTGATGGTCCCGATAGTCCATTGATCTGATATTCTCTCAATTGACCCTTATTCAAGTCAACACCTCCACATAATTCAAAGTTATATTAGAATTTCCCATGCATCCCCGACTGAAAAGTTACGCTGTAAATGAGAAGAGAGAAGCAAAAAAGGAAATTCGATATCGAAAAGGAATTTGGGGTTTAAAATGAAATTGAGGATTGTGTTGCAAGTTTTAAAAGTTAGAAGACCTAAATGCAAGCGCCTGAAAAGTTCAGTGACCATATTGCAAACGTACTAACGGTGGTGTAACGGCGGGAGCCATATTACAAATAGACTAAATGTTAGAGGACTGCATTGCAAGTTTTAAAAGTTGGGGGACCTAAATGAGAGTTTTAGAAAAATCCAGTGATCATTACTATACTTTACCCAATTGATATTTATTCGAAACACAATAAAAAACGTATAGTGTAAAAGAAGTAAATTAATGGATTTTTTGAGGTTTAGTTGATGGTAAAAAGAAAGAGAAAATGGTTAATTGTACGAAAAATGGAGGTTAAAGAAGAATTCATTAACCATCAAAATCTCATTAAAAAAATTATCCTTTTAAGAAGATAAACTTATAATTTGTTTGTATCAAAAGTGAGTTAAAATACCGGTCCAATTATGACCAACATGGTCAAAGGGTACTAAGTTAACTTTCCTAACTATCACATCATAATGTAGTGACTCAACTAACAACTATTAACGTCTAAAGCCTCCAGCCCTCATCTTTACTCTACAACATCTTTTATCTCTACTCTAAAAATGAAACAATAATTTATCTTCAGCATTATCTTTATATTACCACCAACTTTACTTTATTCACAATATTTAACTATTATAATATTGATTTTGTAAATATAAAATAAAACATATACATTTATAATAAATATCAAGATAAAAACATAAATAAAAATTCATAAATAGCATTGCAAAAATACAAATAAATAAGAAAATTACAATTCATAATGATAATTAGTATGTTTTTATGTTTAAAAAAATTAGTATGTTTATTTATCTAATTTCAATATATTTTTTATCTATCTTGCAATTTAATATACTTGAATTTATTATATTATGTTTAGTTTTTATTGTATTGTGTATAAATTACAATAAAAAACATAAAAGATAGAATAAGGGAAAATAATGTAACAAAGAAATGGAAAAGAAAAAGAAAATAACAAAAGAAAATAAAAAAAAATCATAAAAATAACAAAAAAAATAATATGTAGCGCAACTACAGTGCAACTCTAGATGTAGAGTATCACTGTAGCTTTTCTCTACTCTAGCATTGAAAGTAGAGATAGACTGGAGTTGAAATTCATCTCTAAAGTGGAGAATTTATCTACTATAGCGATGTGCTGGAGATGGTCTAAGTGATTAATTTGTGATAAAACGATAATATTAGTGATCATTCCATTACTTTTTAAACTTTAGTGATGAAATCAGAAGAGTATTCAAACATTAGTGACTATAAGTGTAGTTTATCCTAAATAGAATGATATAAAAATTTCTCAACCTACTCTGTTCTCTCTTCACACATCCCAGCCGCCAAGCAAGCGTCCTCCTCCTCTAGTCCCTGATCCTAGCCCTCTCCTGTCTGCAGACCGGGAAGTTAAATAATGTAACGTTTTGAAACCCTGAACTTAACTTGAAGATATATTTTCCTACTTGATTCACGAGATTTTGAGTTATCTGGTTTCTGCCTCTGCATAACTCTGCTATATTTCATTTTCTTCTTACGCTCCTACTTCTTGATACCTTGTCTCTTTCTGTTTACTTTGTTTGGAAAGGAGGTTTTTCAAAAGCTATCGGTATCGCCGCTATTTTCGCAATCGATGTTATTCGCGGCTTCCATCCGCTGGTATTGATGTGAAATCGTTTCGCACCGGTATTGAGGTCTTTAGTGGCGGAGGATGGCTCCGCCGAGAGATAGCGACGGGACACCTTAACTATTTCCAATTAGGTTTAGCGTTTATTGTTAAAAGTAATTTTGTTTCGCTTGGATAATGTAAATAGGCTGAGTTTCTTGATTGGAATTTTTCTAGTTAATAAACTTGAAAAGCTGAAGAATTGAAGGCACGAAAGTATCAGACGGTGTTATACATGAATCTCTTCTGATGCTATTGTCAACTTACGCATTTAAGTGTACATACCCCGTAACTATTTCTGTTTGGTGTCTTTATGCATTGATTTCTGATATTGCTATTGTTATTTTTTTTGGAAGCTGTACTTTGTTATAATTAATTTGACAACAAGATGAGATTGGAGAGTACCCCTTAGCTATTGCTAATTAGTCTCTTCATCTAATGATTTCTGATATTGCTACTGTTATTTTTTGTTCTACAAATTGTATTTTTTTTAATTAATTTGAGAACAAGATGGGATTACAGAATACCCCTTAGCTATTGTTAATTAGTCTCTTCAAGTAATGATTTATGATGTTGCTATTGTTATTTTCTATTCTACAAATTGTATTTTTTTTAATTAATTTGAGAACTAGATGAGATTACAGAATACCCCTTAGCTATTGCTAATTAATCTCATCATTTAATTACTTCTGATGTTGCTATTGCTACTTTCTGCTTTGGAAATTGTTTTTTTAGTTGATTTGAGAGCAAGATGAGATTGGAGAAGTGCTGGTTTTGTTCCTCCACTGTATATCCGGGGCATGGTATTCAGTTCGTTCGCAACGATGCCAAGGTAAGTGTTTCTCTCTTAATTTTACATTTATATTCAAAATTCATTGCTTTGCCTCTATTTAGTTCTTATCCATATTGGCTTATAATATTACACATTTTGTTTGATGCTATGGACTCGGCTTTTCTTTAGTTTGTTGACACTGGTAGAGGTTACCTTTCTGTCTTTCTATTCAGTTTTTGTTACTCTTAATGCAGTATGTGTGTGTGTATATCAACACCATATAATTTGTTACCTGCTACTGTGTTTATATGCTTGATGGTGTGGAAATACATGCACTTTTCATCAAAATTTAGCCGTGTCAATATCATGACAGATTAAAGGCATCAACTAAAATCATTTATAGGCTTTTTGACTGCTTTTTGCAGATTTTCCGTTTTTGCAGATCCAAATGCCACAAGAACTTCAAGATGAAAAGGAATCCCCGTAAAGTAAAATGGACCAAGGCCTATAGGCGTTTGCATGGAAAGGACATGACTCAGGTGATAGCCTAAGGCATCAATAATCAGTACCTGCTGTTGCATACAATGTTTAAACCAAAACACTGAGTTATGTTTCTTTTCTTTTTCACCAGGACTCAACATTTGAGTTTGAGAGAAAACGTAATAGGCCGGAGAGATATGATAGAAACCTTGCAGAGAATACTCTTAAGGCCATTAAAAAGATTGATAAAATCAGATCAGACAGGGCATCTGACCACATCAAAAGCAGGTTGGTTTGCACTTCTGTTTCCTATTAAAAGATATTATAGCATGCAATTTGCTAAATAACCCATCCGTTTTGAATCTCTTTCTAGGCTTAAGACGGGCAAAGTCCAAAGGCAAAAAGAAGCAAGGAAGCAATTGGAGCATGATATTCACTTGGTCAAAGCTCCGCTTGCTCTTGCACAAGATTCATCACTTCATCTTCCAAAAATCAAAGTCAATGTGTCCCAAGCCCAGACAGAAGAGAATCAACCCATGGAAGAGTAAATTTGGTTCTGTTCTTCCTCAGCATGGTATTTATCCGCCACCAAAATTTATGCGTGTCAAGAGTCCTTTTTTGTGTCTAATGGTCCAGAATTTTGAATAGCATATTTAAATGTTTGTTTTGATTAGCATATTTTGGTAGTTCCTAATTATGGAAAACTCATTAAAAACAAATTCCGAGACTCGCTTTTCCCTTTTAAATGGGGTGTTACATGCTTTTAACAAAGTAATTTACGTATGTAGCATGACTTGGATATCTGACTCATGTCTTTCTCCAATTCAAGTTTTCCTCTGGAGTTTGGACATTGCTTTTAGTTTTTGTAGTTTTATAGATTAACCCTAAATTTGAGCGATAAGTGGCGCTGAATCAATTGTACAAAGTCTAGGAGCGAAGTTGTAATGGTGCGTTTTAAATTTGATTGGTATTCTATTTTTTTGGGATACAAGTGGAGATTATTTTTGTCATCTACGTTGATGTGTTATAATTATTGGCAGATTTAATGTGTGGTTAATTAATTTGCAGATATAATGTGTTAAACAAGTTAGCATTGGGCAGGGCAGCAAAAGCAAGATGAATCTCGTAATTGTAAATTCAATGCATTTAGGGATTGTAATTTGACCTGAGTTTGATGGATTTTGATTCGATTTTACAAAGTTGGATTCTTTTTTTAAATATGGGTTTGGGTTGGGATCTAGAAAGATGAGGTTGGATTGGATTTAAGATAAAAAAACATTTGACTTAGATTTGAAACAATGATATAATTTTTTTATACATTTAGAAATAATTATAATAGTATATTTTTTTAATTAGATCTTTAATTTATTTATTAAAAAATTTTAAAATTTGATTCTAGTGTGAATTTTGGGTCGGGTTTCTTGAGTGAAATTTTCTTAGGCCCAAATTAAAATGGGATGTTAGAATTTCTTAAGTCCAAATTAAATCGAATGTAATGTCGGACTAAAGATATAATATTCATTAGGTCGACCAAAAATTTACCTGTTCCGGCTCATAGGCTTCCCTAAATCCATTGCATGCCCCCTTTAAATAATAATGCTACTTTTTATTTATTATATACATAAACACAATTTAATCTAATCATCTTTATGATTATTTTTCTCCTGACTATATTTGGCTATTTTATCTGCTTTAGCATTTAAATACATGTTACAGCGTATTTTAATTTGATTGTTACAATGATTAATTTCATTGCTATCATTATTTTTAATCTCTTATTTTACCTTTGAATTAATATTTGATCTTTTGTCAACAATTTTTAAAATAGGTGGTTAAAAGTTTTCAATTAACATTTTCCCTCTCCTAGGAGTTATAATTATTCAATATGCCAGAAACTTGTTACTTAAACAGCCTGGTGTTCATGACAAAAAATTTCTTTAGGAAAAGTATAGTGTTTAACAACCTAACTCTTCATCAACAAGATAAAATAGGGTATCTTCATTAACTAGAAAAACTTGAATTTCCTTGCTTCCAACAAAAAAAAAAGTTCAATAAGTGAGAAGAGCCACATTATAAAGAAGGGAGAAAAGTTTTGAATGTAAATGTAGAAATGGACTATAGACATTGTTTTTCAGTTATCGTTATAAAATACTATTTCTATTTTTTATTGCTATCTTTGTATTTCTAATCTCATATCCACATCAATACGTCATATTATTTCATCCGCCGCATAGCTTGTGAACTACACAGTCGTTCACCGATCATCGACCGACCAACTGTCATGCCGCCATTCTCACAAGCAAGGGCGCAAGCATGGTGTTTTCCCGGTTTTACATAGTTCTCTTTTTCTTTGATAGGCAAAGGATTAGCTAGACCAGAGTACCGAAGTACGACCAACAAGGGAGATGAAAGAAAAAGCTTGACCGTGTACTCTTTCCTGCTCTATGCTACTGTCAGCGTCAACTCCTCCTTTGTCACCGAAGATGATGCAGCGGTAACAACTTCGGCAACTATTTAGTAAATAAAAAACTTTAAATATGAGTCAATGTGACTAGTCAAATGTGTCAACGTGGCCAAACAATATCAATTTAGCCGTTTAAATGTGTTACATTAGATTTCTGTAAATGCAATAACGGTTGTTAACGACCGAATGGTCGATTTATTACAAAACGATAACGTTAATGACTATTTTTTTATTTTTAAAATTTCATTGAGGAAAACAAATATTTACTCATACTTCAATGATCATTTATACGTTAAAAGTCAGCACCGAAATCGGTGCATTAATGCACAATTCGATGCAATGGTCAAAAGGCATTATACAATTGTTGAAATTTGCTAAATGGTATAATCATAATTTAGTCATTGTACTTTAGGGTATTTACAAATTAGTTCTTAAGCTTCAACTATAAATACCCTAACCCATTTAGCTTCAAAACCATCTCAAATCATTATAGCTTCAAAACCATCCCAAATCATTCTAGCTTTCTCCCAATATTAGAGAATTTAGATAGTTTCTTGATAGTTGTTTTCTCATTTTTATCAAGAGAGGATTATCATTTTTTTCTCCTTGGTAGATCGAGAGAAGTTGTAATTCCTATTTTCTCATAGTGAAATTCTTCTACCGTTGCCCGTGGCTTTATCCTATATTATTTAGGGGTTTTCCACGTAAATTTTGTCTCTTTTATCTTCATTTTTATTTTATCAAATTATTAGTTGCGATTTTGCTTTATCCGATAGCCGTCTTCCGCAACAATTGGTATCAGAGCCAGATTTGAATATGTAATATCTGCTTATTGTCTTTGTGGTTGCCACCAAAAGATGAATCATCCAACGTAAGAAAGTAAGAATGCATTACCCATATTTTGAAAGTTCTAGAGAACTATTCACGATAGTGAAATAGTGAGAACTATTCGCGATAGTGAAATAGTGGGAACTATTCAAAATAGAAACTATGACAACAAAATTTGATATTGAAAAGTTCAATGAGAGAAATTTCTCATTGTGAAAATTGAAGATGAAGGTCATCATGAGGAAAGATGGTTGTCTAGCAACTATCAGTAAAATGCCAGTATATTTCACAGATGACAACAAATGGATCGAAATGAACGAGAATGCTATGGAAAACTTTCATCTAGCATTAGCAGATGAAATATTGTCAAGCATCGAGGAGAAGAAGACAGCTAAGGAGATATGAGATCATCTCACCAAATTGTACGAGGCCACATCGTTGCATAATAAAATTTTCCTTAAGAGGAAATTGTACACTCTCCGGATGTCAGAATCTACTTCAGTGATGGAGCACTTAAACACGTTGAACACTTTATTTTCTCAGTTTACATTCCTAAGATGTAAAATAGGAGAACAAGAAAGTGTTGAACTTCTACTTCAAAGTCTACCTGATTCGTATGATCAACTCATTATCAACTTAACAAACAGTAATGTCACCAGTCTAGTCTTCAATGACATTGCAGCTGCTGTTCTACAAGAACAAAATCAGCGCAAGAACAAAGAAGACAGACAAGTAAATCTACAACAAGAAAAAGCGTTGAAAAAGATGACAACGATGAGAGGGAGATCAACAAAACGTGACCAAAGCAGCCGTCACAAACATGGCAGATCGAAGTCTAGAAGCAAAAAGAATTTAAAATGCTACCACTATGGAAAGAAGGGTCACTTGAAGAATGATTGTTGGAGTCTAAATAAAAACTCTAATCCACAAGGTAATACCACAAACACTTCAGATGATGAAGATGCTCTATGTTGTAAAGCGTTAACCACCGTGAAAGACAGAAAAAGTTTATAGATATATGACTCATTGATTCAGGAGCAACATATCACATGACCTCAAGAAGAGAATGGTTCCATCATTATGAACATGTCTCAGGAGGATCTGTGTATAGTTACAATGATCATGCCTTAGAGATAGTTGACGTGGGGACCATCAAATTAAAGATGTATGATGGAACAATTAAAGTTGTTCGAGATATGCGGCACGTGAAAGGCCTGAAGAAAAAATTTATTATCCTACGGATTGTTGGATAATAATGCAAGCAAGATTTAAACACGAAAAGGAATCATGAAGGTGTTTCGTGGAGCGCTTGTGCTGATGAAAGGCGAAAAGATAGCTGCAAACTTATACATGCTGAAGGGAGAGACTTTGCTAGAAGCAGAAGCCTGTGTTGCCTCATGTAGTTCAGATTCTGTAATGCTATGGCATTAGAAACTTAGACACATGTCAGAATAAGGAATGAAATTCTTTGTGGAGCAAAAACTACTTCCAGGCTTAACAAATATATCACTTACTTTGTGTGAACATTGCATAACAAGTAAGCAACACCAGTTGAAATTCAACACGTCAAATTCTAGAGGCAAAAGTGTTCTAGAATTGGTTCATTCTGACGTATGGCAAGCACCAGTTACATCCCTAGGCGGAGCAAAGTACTTTGTCTCATTTATTGATGACTACTTCAGGAGATGTTGGGTGTACCCTATTAAGAAGAAGTCAGATGTGTTTTCAACTTTCAAAAACTTCAAAGCGCGAGTGGAACTTGATTATGAAAATAAGATCAAGTGTTTCAGAACAGATAATGGAGAAGAATACACAAGTGAAGAATTTGATGATTTTTACAGGAAAGAAGGCATCAAAAGACAGTTCACAGTGGTGAACACTCCTCAACAAAATGTAGTGGCAGAGCGGATGAACAGAACCTTGTTAGAAAGAACAAGAGCAATGTTGAGGGATGCAGGCCTAGAAAAATCATTATGGGTAGAAGCAGTCAATACCGCCTGTTATTTGGTGAATTGAGCTCCATTAACTGTAATAGAACTGAAGACACCAATGGAGATGTGGACTGGTAAACCAACTGATTATTCAAACCTCCATGTATTTGGAAGTATTGTGTACGTGATGTACAACTCCCAAGAAATTTCAAAGCTGGATCCAAAATTCAGGAAATACAAATTCTTGGGTTATGCTGATGGTGTAAAGGGGTATCGCTTGTGGGATCCCACTTCCAGCAAAGTGATCATCAGCAAGGATGTTATCTTTGTAGAAGATAAACTACAAAGAAAAGGAGACGATGATAGCGCTGAAAAGTCAGAGACTACGCATATACATGTGGAAAATGAGTTTGAACAAGGAGATTCTTCTGAAGCAGAACCAACACATGATGAACAAGAACCAGAGAGTTCTGAAGCTCCAACAACTCGTCAATCAGATAGTGTGAGAAGACGTCCCAATTGG